GAACCTGTGGGCTCAGGCAGTCCACTCACCTCAGCCTCCCAAAGGCGTGGGATTACAGGCTGAGCCACCAGGCCCGGCTAGAAAGAAAGTTAAAGAGTTGGTTGGTGGGATAGTTCATCATGGGTGATTGTATTCCAAGAACCCATTCCCCCAGATTTGGTTTTGGTTGTATGAGAATCTTCAATCATTAATCTTGTTCAGAGAGTGGAATATTCCAGTTAAGAGAACAATATGATTAATATATTGAACCCCCCGATGGATTACCAATCTAAAAATCATTATTTTAAAATACACGCAAACCCCCAGAAATACTAGATATGACGTGACCTCTCTTTGATTTGGAAGAATTTGCAGAACCTCGGAGGGTGACAAAGGCATTATTTTTAGTCTCAGTTGTGATTACTCAGAAGTATAAATGTACCAGATTAGAAATGACTAGGAAGTGAGTTTCATGACCCCAAGGGGAGCTTCCTGCAGCTGCATGTATGAAGTTCTGGTCTCACGTTTGGCACATGCATCTTAAACTCTCAACATTATTATTATCTGGTTACCTCATTTTTCATATTGTCCAGCTGTTTCCAAAAGCTATTGACATTTTAGCTGGGACAGCATCTAAACAAACGTTTGACTGCTACTCTCTTCTCTTGTCTTTAATCTGTTTCTGGCTTACTGGCTGCGAGTTGCACCTGCCCAGGACCTCTCGTGCAGACTTGCAGCCATGCAGGCAGTGTTGCATTGAGGAAGGTCACTGCTTGACTTTTGTCTGTTCTCAAGATGACTTTCAAAATGTAGCCATGCTGCCTCTGTCCACAGGTTAAGAAGTCCAGCTTCAAAAGCACCTTGCCACTTCAGCAAGAACTTGTGAAAAGATTGTGGTTCATTTTACTGAAAAGACTTCAAGGATCTGTAGGATTTAGCAGTATTTTTATTTTTACCTATTTTTGCACTTCTGACTTCAGGTTAAAAACTAACTTGTATGTAGGCTGTCCAGGGGAATGTGACTTGACAATTTGCATATTCTGATGAACTTTCTGGGTAGTGGTCACAGTTGTTAAGATATTTCTTAGAAGAGATCCATTTATTAATGCATTGCAGACCAATTTAACTGACATGTTCCAGAAAAAATTTTCCTGGTTTAATAAGTAAGCTAAAAGTTTTATCTTTTATATTTAATGCTTAATCCTTGCCTCGTGTTGTTTAAAATTAGCCTGAGAATATTTTTTCTCACTTCTGTAGGCTCTTGAAAGACAAACATACAAACAATAAAACAATAAAATAATATTTAAAAACTTGAAAAAGAAAAAAGCCTTTTAAGCAGATTTGAAAACAGAGCATTTAAATCTTTCTCCATAAAATATGCCAATAAGACAGTACTTTAAGCCAGGCTCGGTGGCTCAGCCTGTAATCCTGCGCCTTGGGAGGCTGAGGTGAGTGAATTGCCTGAGCCTGCAGGTTCAAGACCCGCCTGGGCAACTTGGTGAGACCTCATCTCTACAATAAAAATAAAAAATCAACCAGGCGTGGTAGCACACGCCTATAGTTCCAACTACTTGGAAGGCTGAGGTGGAAGGATCGCTGGAGCCCAGCAGGTCAACGCTGTGGTGACCGGGAGTGGCCACTGCACTCCAGTCTGGGTGACAGAGTGAGACTCCAACTCAAAAAAAAAAAAGTATTTTAAGAGTGAGCCTGACTCTCACACAGTTGGTGAGAGCAAGATGTTGTGTCTCAGAGCTCAATATTTGTACAATAAATGGACTTGAGGTATACAATGCAAAGGCAAAATTTTAATACATTAGAAATTCAACATTCCTTAAAGAGTTAAAATTGCAAAGTATAATATTATTAGCAATAACCTGGAAACAACCCAAGTGCCCATCAACAGAACAGTGGACCAATAAACTGATTAGTAGTTTGGTACACTAGGAGTGTAGTGTGAGAAGAAATAAGGAGAAAATGAGATTGTATATTCACAAAATGGCATATTACAGTCAAAATGAATGAACAACAGCTACACACCCATGGGTACAGTGTTAAGAGCCAGCATGAAGGGGCTTCCACTGGCCAAATCAGGGACGATTTGAACATCAAAATGAGCAATAATTATGGATTGCAATCCATTGACTAAAATAGGACTAAGCCATGTTGGTAGAAGTAAGTGGAGAAAAAGGAAAGCTCTTTTCTATAGTAGAATGCCATCTCAGAAGTGTAGAGGGAATGATAGGAATACAGAACTACCATTTGGAAACCACTGAGATGGATGATTCAGGCAGGAGTCTTCACTGGATGCTAAGACTAGTAGGTGGAGGTTTGAGGAGAACAGAATTTTGGTGTAATTGTGAAATATTTCCGTGGAATGCTAATCAATTACAGCAGAGAAAACAGTGAATGAAGTAACCAACATGATCAGGTGATCAAGGTTAGCATCACCAGTGTTGGGAGGAGTCAGTATTGTGTGCCTCCTGGTGAGACACACCGAGAAAAACAAAACATCCTTTTGTATGGTATTCCTACTATCAGGGGAACCTAAGTTGTGGGCCAACACATGTACGGCCTGTACTCTTTAAAAGTATCAAGGACAGGAAAGACTGGGAACTGTTGACAGACTAAGAGTCTGGAGATACACAACAACCAAATGCAATATGTATCCCTGTATAGCATTCTGGACCAGAAAGGAAAAAGACGTTGTTGGGACAGTGAGCAAAATGTTAACTGGCTCTGAGAATTGCTTTCCCAGTTGTGCATTATATGCTTTTTCTATGGAATACACTGGGGTTGGGGCCAAGTCTTTGATAGTCAACTGGGCTCAAGCAATCCTCCCACCTCAGCCTCCCGATTAGCTGGGACTATAGGCAACTTTACCTTTGTAAAGACAAGGTTTCACTATGTTGCCTAGGCTGATCTTGAACTCCTAGGCTCAAACTGTCCTCCTGTCTTGACCTCCCAAACTTCTGGGACTACAGGCATGAGCCATGACACCCAGTTGGCAACTGTTCTTCTAGAAATCACTCATGATCTCATGAGGTTGGTTTAGGCAAATTAGGATAAATAACACGTCAGTCACTTCCTTAAACATAATTAATCCCCATTAGACTGTAGTGTGCTGGGAGCAAGAGCCATGTGTTACAATTCTGTGTGTGTGATGCTTCCAGATGTTTCTTCTCCCCTCAAGATTGCTTTGACTATTTGGGGTCTTTTGTGGTTCCATACAAATCTTGGGATTGTTTTTCTATTTCTGTGAAGA